ACATCAAAGAAATGTGGGTACTAACCATTAAGAACTCTTTGGAATTTGTGTTCATGGGTTTTTCAAAGTTACAGGCCCTCAGAGTGCATTGGAGAGGGGGTTAAACGCTCACATTTTGACAGCATTTTTGGTTCCTCATAAATTGATAAGTTATCCACAGAAACATTCACAACAGTAGTCAAAGCTGGCACATTTGTATTTGAGGTTCATTCGTGTGCCTCGTGAAGACTCTGAAACTGTCTGACAGACGTTTGGGGATTTTTTTTTCTTCACTGTGGTGAAGAATCGTTTTCATCACTTTCCTTTCTTCGTGTTCCTCCTTTGTTCTCTGTCTTCGGCTCTTCCACCTTTAGCTCTCCACGGTTCTGCATCAGCATCAAGCACACCCGTGGTTCATCACCCCAACTTTCCTCCTCACGAACACAAAGTGAGACCAGAACTGTTTGTTTATTCTGCATCGATCTACAGCCCGACCGATCCAACAGTGTCTGTGGAAGTTTTTTACAACTCAAACCTGAGTGTCATTTCTCTTTAGTTCTGATGTCACCGCTGAGCAACACAAACCTTCTGCCGTCACAGTTACTTTCAGCTGCTCACTATTTCACCACAGTGGAAACTTTTTTTAACGTTGGCTGATTTTCATGCATGATGCTCTTTGTGACACAACCCCCGCAGGATTTCTGTCTCTTGAGTGTTGTGGTTCACATTTGCCTAATAAGTGAAGGCTGTTGAAGTGAACTACAACTTTCTAAGGGCCCAGTTCTTTTTTCATTCTTCACTGTAGTGTGACACAATAATAACAATACAATAATTGATCCATGGAGCCTGCTGAAGGTTTTGCCGAACCTCATACTGTATTTTCACCCCTTTACTCTTTTTAAAGCTGCAGTTAAACAAAAGTGTGCCCCAGTTTTGAGGGATGTTCATGTTTGACTCATTTCACCACAATTCTGTGTGGTATTTCTACAGAAATTTATTTTCATGTTTCATCCCACTAGCTGTTTAATACTCAGACGTATTTGAATTTCTGTTTACCAAAGAAAATAGGCAAATCAGCTGAGTTGGCACAATAGAGGAGGATGTTAGAGACTGAGTGAAGGAGGCAGATGAGCTACTGTGATGACCCCTAATATGAGAGCAGAAGGTTAACCAACTCAAATTCACCTTTATACATCACAGCTTTATTTAACTGTCCACTTTCACAGGCCTGGTTAGCTGGTATCAAGTCAAGTCAAAGAAGTCAAGGAAACCTTAATTTCTCACATGCAAGTTGCCCTACTGTGAAATGGGACCACTTGTGTATAATATGAGTTCATGTCAATAAACAACTGGGACACTCTCCTGGGACAGACTGGGAAAAGAGACATGTGGAGACAGTTCATTTAGGCGAGGGAGTCGGCTTGTTAAATAACCGAAATCCTGTTCCACTCTTTGTTCACATCAGGAAATGTGGGTTTCATGTCAACGTCAATGCAATGTCAATTGTAACTTTATTGTCCCTAACGGGAAATTGATTTGCAGTATGTCCATACAGAAATATAAAAAACAAACAAACAAACAGGCAAACAAATACATCACATACACACACAAAAATAATATAAGCCTGAGAAAACAACCTAAATTTTATCATCATCAAAAAAAAAAAGTGCAACGTGCAGTGGCAGCAGCACTTATGATTTAGTGTTATTAACCATGATAATAGAAGTAGGTACAAAAGACAATCTATGTCTCTTTATCTTCACTGCAGGCACTTTGTAACGACGACCTGATGGAAGCAGTTGAAAATCATTAGAGAGAGGATGATCTGAACACAACAGGACAGAGGTCACCTCCCTCAGCACCTGCCTGTTATAAAAGTCCACAAGCTGGACCTGAGACCTCCCTGAAATCTGACCAGCCACTTTAACCAGGTTGCTGAGTCTGGTCTTATTATTCAAGGACATATTATCATATCAGGCAATGATACAGAATGTTAAAACAGATTCAATAAAACTTTTATAAAAAAGAGTCATTTCAGATGAAACATTAAAACCTCTCAACCTCCTCAAATAACCTGAGCCTTTTTCACTGTAGCAGCAAGATGTGGCTCAAAGGACAGAGACTTATCAAGAACAACCCCCAAATACTTATAACTGTCCACCAGTTCAATGGCTGCACCATTTACCACAGTTAGAGCAGGATGGGGGGATGTCTTCACATGACGAAACAAACTCATCCACAACAGGCCCATGGGAATCCTCTTCACCGTGAAGGAGGTTTACAATCACTGTGTCATCTGCATATTTAATGAAATGCCTGTTGGCCTGTGTACTGCGACAGTCATTAGTGTACAAAATATACAGAAGAGGAGAGAGACAACAAGTTGTTGAGTTTTCTCTGTTTGGTCATCAGACTGGTGAGGGTGGTTTTTGGTGTTTACACGTGTTATGACACATTCAGAGTTCAGGTCATGCCACGTGGTACTACAATGGCCTGTGGCTTTCATAGGAAAGAGGGAGGTGAAATGACAGTTTCCTTATTATAGACTGGCCTGTTGTTGTTAACTGTTTTTATGACATAAAAGTGGGGTTAAAACTAGAATTTCAAACTCTATACCAATACTCGGAAAAATACTCAATAGATGATTCTTCAAATCCAACAAAGGTGTGTATGTGTGACCTTTTGACCTTTAGAATAGAATTCAACTTTATTGTCATTGCACATGTCACAAATACAAGGCAACTAAATGCAGTTATTACATTTTCAACTTCACCATGAAGGTAAATCACTGACAGAGTAAGAATTTTTCAAGTGGGAACCAACTTGTTCAACTTTATTCCAACTCAATTCAAAATCAGGGCCGATCTTTATCTCTGTCAGATCCACAGTCAAATCCATAGAAACTGAGTTGTTACATTTAAAGTCATGTTCAAATTTGAAGCATTTGGAATAAAAGAAAACGTGATTTACAGACATAACATAAACATTTTTTAATGGCTCAACCAGTGCAGGTCACAGAAAGTCTCTGTCATACTGTGGAAACTCTGTTACTCAGCCTTCATTCAATCACTGCGTCCAGCTGACTGACAAGATTCATATCCTGGGCTGACTCAGAAGCAGAGCTGTTAAACTTGTATGTGTCACATGAGCGTAACTTTAAACAGTATTGTGTCCTCCTGTTCTTTGTTCAGAGTTTAGTTGTTTCTCCTGTGTTTAACATGGCTTTGCCCACTAGTGTGTGGTTGTGTGATGGAGTACACAGGTTAATTTGAAGGTCAGACTGCAGACCGACATCCTGAACAGCAGTGATCTAATTCGTCGTGTTTGAGCGCCATCTGCTGGTGAGTCTGGTAATTGTAAAAGGATGACGTGACTTCTCATGAGCATTGTAATGTGGCTGATGGATGTTAAGCTGACCTTTTCTCCTCATCTGTCTTTAGACCTCCCAACTAGAGGCGTGGTCCTCTAGTTGGTCGGAGGGTACCTGCACGTGACGATAATCCCTGACCCAGATGGTGTAGACTGGAGGTGAAGGGCATCTTCAAACTGAATGAGGACTTCTGTCAGGCTTGGTTAGTCTGTGGAGCTGCAGAGGCACAGAGAAGTATGGATCTGGCTGAGGCTGAAGGAAAAACTGAGGTTTGGGAGGAGTTTAATAAAGCTGTGGAACAAGATTTTCAGTGTCTGTTGGTTTCTAGATTTTATTTATTCATTTTGCTCATGACCTAATCTAAAAAATATGTTTACTGACATGTTTCAGCCAAAGAAAACCTTTTCTCTTAATGATGAGAGGTGGAAACTACAGAACTACCACCCTGTAAGAGAGGAAGGAGGAGGAGGGTCTTGCTTGATGCTAGTGTGGACCGATCAAAGTTCAGTAGCACCTGCAGATGGAGAAAGCTTCTTCACTTTGGCTGCTCTGTAAGTATGCTGTGATGTGTTTTGGTTTCTGAAAAGGATTAAAAAAGAAAGGACTCTCACTGCGTTGCTTCACAAACATCCAGTTTGTGAAGACAAAAAGAGAAAAAAAACCACTTCCTGTTTTCGGCTTCTTCAGTCTGTAGATCGACCAGACTGATGGCGTTGCTGCTTTTTTCCTGAATGTGAAGCTTTAAACTAACCTGTTATTTCTCTTTAGTTTCAACCTCACTGCTGATCTGCACAACAAACCAAGGTCAGTAACCTTTTCCTGTCACAGTTTAAACCTGATATCAGCTACACCGTAATAGAAGCTCTGAGCATTTTTTATATTGTGGCATGATATTATAGTTATTGCGCTAAGCTATCCAGGAGCCTGCTGAAAGTTCATCGATGCTACCAAAAGCATAAAGGAAGTATGTTCACCTGAAGAAACTGTTCTAACTTTCTTGGAGGTTCACATTAAAAAAAAACTGATCAGCTTTGACTAAGCTCACAGCTTTGGACCTCAGTGCTGGCTTGTACTTAATATGCATCTCCCTCACAGCTCGTCTGACTGTGAGTCCCAGCAGCTCTCAGGTCTTTAAAGGAGCCTTTGTGTCTCTGAGCTGTGAGGAGGACGACAGCTCTGCTGGATGGACTCTGAGGAGAAACACAAGCAGAGACACCGGAGCTGAGTGTGGAGATGAGTGGGGAAGATCAGCTGGTTCTTCCTGTAACATCAGCTACATCGACCCATTGGACAGTGGAGTTTACTGGTGTGAGTCCAGAGAGGGTACCATCAGTAACATGGTTAACCTGACAGTCACTGGTAAGCTGAGTGTGTGGAGTTAGTGTTGATGAAGCTGTGTGTAAATGGATGAAATGCTGTAGTTTGTCTCTGTGTTGAGGTGGATCAGTGATCCTGCAGAGTCCTGTCCTCCCTGTGATGGAGGGAGATGACGTCACTCTGCTCTGTAAAACAAAGACCACTCCCTCCAATCTCCCAGCTGCTTTCTATAAAGATGGCTCCCTCATCAGGAAGCAGCCTACAGGTCACATGACCATCCAGCATGTTTCCAGGTCTGATGAAGGCCTCTACAAGTGTGACATCAGCGGTCATGGAGAGTCTCCATCCAGCTGGATCACTGTCACAGGTGAGGAGCTTCACTCTAATTTCACCTCTTATTTCATCCACATATTCACTGAACAGGTGGGATTCTCTCTGCAGGCAAACCTACAAACACAACCCTTGCCCATGAACCCTCCTCCCCCCACCTTGTGTCCAGGGTTTCCCTCCACCTGGTGGTGTTCTGTCCATACTTCATCTCCACTCTGCTCATGGTATCTTTATATCGATGGAGAGCCACAGGTAACACTCTTAGTCTCTTCAGTTATTTATCAAGCTCAGTTCTTTTTGACTCTTTATACAAATCTCTGATTACACATGTGACAGGAAGTGACCTTATCCCTGTGGTAACAGCACCACCCACCCAAGCTAGGGAGAGACTGGCTGAAGACTGTGATGACATTGTTGGCGTTATCACTGAGCATCACTTCTGAGTTCCTGTTTAATCTGTCAGATTGTGGTCATCACATCTCTGTGATTGAACAACGTGCGACGCCGCAGATTTAAACTGGAATATTATGCTTTGATGAATAAATAAATACATGAAGAAAACATGGACCAGTCAAAGACTGAATGGTAGTAATGGAAGTTTAATGGATTTAAAGCACTTGCATGTAATCCTTCTCCTGTCAAAAGATTCAAACATTGTGTAATAAAACATGTGACGTGTGAGAAACACCTGCACCTCTGCAATCTGCTCACATGTTCCTGTTAAACAGGAAGCTGAACGACTACAGTGCTGTGAACATCTGTTAACCACAGGCTAAAAGACTGGTGGTCCTGCAAGAACAACGCCCACTGCTACCTTTCATCTGCAAACACACACTGACTGCAGGATGGGCATTTAGAAACTCTGGCTCAGTTTATATCAGTGAGACAGGCAGTTAAAACTGAACCTGGTGTTGTGTGCTACGAACTTAACTCATTCACTGCCAATGGCTGGCAGTGAATGAGTTAAACCCATTGACTCATTCACTGCAATTGACGGCTATAGACGTCAATGGCAGTGAATGAGTTAAGTTAAATTACAATCCACGATTCTGTTCAGACCTTTTCTTAGTTGGTTTCTGTATGATTATGATCTCAGGTTTTTGTTACCTTTTCCATTGAAGTTTCTGTTTGTGGTTTATGTTTAATTCTTTGAGTTCCAGTTTATGCTGTCTCCTCTATATTCTCCTGTATTTTAATGCTTTTAATTTGTTCCCTTCTTACATTGCTTCCTGTTTTACTTTGATACCCTTTTGTTTCTTGTATTTGATTTCACATCATCACAACCACATCATCACCCTTATTAGCCTTTGTGTACTTATAGCTTCAGTCTTCCTTTTTCGCTTGTTGTTTACTGTTTCGTCAGTGCCTTTTGGGGTTTGTGTCCTCGACATGAAATTTGTTTACTTCCCTTTTAAATGTTCATTCTGATGGTTTTTATCAGCCTTAAATAAACTGCTGGTTTACTGGCCCTGCAGCTACACTCCACATTATCACACTGTAGATTGTAGATCTTCAAAATGAAGTGTACTGTTTGAGATTTGATGTTCTGTTTGTAACCCTCACAAGGTTATCCACTGCTGCTCATTACATGTTTTTCATGGATGTGTGGTTAAGTAATGAGCTCCCAAACAATGTGGCAGAGAGGTGGTTTGTGCTTCTACATTAAATCCTGGTGCACATGTCTGACAGTGTTCGCACTTACTGCTCTGATGTAGATCGATAATTGTGTTGTTGATTATCCAGTGCAGACCTTCTGTAGTTTATGTAGCACCAGATGAAAATGCTGAAACAGCCATGAAAGACTTCACTGACGCCATCAGCAAACTGCAAAGACTCTATCCAGAGGCCTTTGCTCTTGTCGGGTTTTAATTACTGCAGTGTTTGATCTATGCATCTATCAGAATGTTTGTTGTACAAACAGGACATAAAATTTTATTCTATCACACTGCACTTGTACTCTGTAGTTTGCACTAAAAACTGACCATCAGGTCGCAGCAAACATTAAAAACACATGTATAGATTTCAGTTTCTAATGATTTATGGTGTTCTTTGCATGCTTTATGGTGTAGGCACCTGTCAGTCACAACTACTCATGCTGTACTCGGTGCACGCCTTCGTTTCTTCCTCTGTGAAAGGTTTGGGTGTCATCCTCGACAGTACTCTGTCTTTCAATTCACACATTAATAATGCCACTCGGTCTGCATATTTTCAATTGTGCAACATTAATCAGCTCCGTCCGATTCTCACTCCACATGCCACTGCCATTCTTGTTCATAGCCTTGTTACTTCCTGGATCGATTACTGTCATTCAATTATTTTTTGGTCTTACTCAAAAATCCATCCACAAGCTCCAAGGCGTCCAGAACTCTGCTGCTCGCATCATCACCAGGACTCCTTCTATCCACCACATCAATACTGTCCTGCAGCAGCTTCATTGGCTCCTGGTCAAATATTGTATCAATCTCAAAATACCCGTGTATACGGCTATTCATCATCTCTCTCCTCCATATGTCTCTGACCTGGTTCAGATCACCAGCCCATCTTGGTGTCTTAGATCCTCTTCTTCTCTTTCTCTCTCTGTCCCCTCTACCCGTCTTGCCACCAAGGGGATCATAGCTCAATAGTTGGCAGTTCGTCTTATAATCAGAAGGTTGCCGGTTCGAGCCCCGGCTTGGACAGTCTCGGTCGTTGTGTCCTTGGCCAAGACACTTCACCTGTTGCCTACTGGTGGTGGTCAGAGGGCCCGGTGGCGCCAGTGTCCGACGGAAAAATTAGGAGGACTTGGAGAGTGTTCATCTGTGATAGGAGTCTGTAGACAGTGGAGTGATTATAGGAAGCATTAAGCTTTCACACGAATCAGAGGGGGGGCAGGAAGTAGGTGGTTAAACAGAAAGTAAAACATTAGGCTTGTGACATACAGTTTAGATGATGTCACTTCTCTTGGGGATTTTACAGGAATTCGAGCTGCTTCTGAGAAAAGGTCAGAGCAATGTAACTGCACTGAGTGAAGATCAGGATGGTTGTGTTTGTTATTCATTGTGAAGTTTTCACAGTGAAATGTAATTGTTTCACAAAGCAGTGATTGTGTATTCAGGTTGATTCCACATGTAAGATTCACCAAAGAAGCAAAGATTTCACATCATCAGACCCAGATGGATTTTTGGGGATCCATCTCCCAGCCACTTGGTTGTACGCTGTCCTAGCTTGCATCTCATGTGCTGGATAGTCTTTGTGACACCTTTACACAGCCTGCAGGGTCGTGTTAGCTTCTATAGATCTGGTGCTCAGGGCCTCTGTGCTGTCTTTTAGGAATGGGCTTTTTCTAGACACTAGTAAGATTTCTTCATACTTTATCCTCTGTCTGTGTGTCAGTGATAGATTACATGATTTTGGATCCTCCCTACCTTCTGACACTCTGTCAGCTCATCTTGGAGTAAAATCTTAATGATTTATTCATTGACGCTGGGCTGATGGCTCCTTGTCTTATTCCTAGTGTTGGGCTCGCTGTATTTACAAAAATAGCAACAAAAAAAAGGGGGGGGGGGTGTGCGCGAGTGTTTTAATCATCTGTAGCTTTATCTAAAAATGAGAAGGAATAGTGACAATGCTTTTGTAACTGATGGTGGCTTCTCTCTTTGTCTGTGGCATAACAGAGGGTCGTGTCCCTAACAGGCCTGAGGTGTTCACACAGTTTCACTTGTCTGTTGTTAACGGTTGTGATGAGCTCATGTTGGTAAAATGAGTCATTCCTGTCACACCAAAGAAAGTGGGTACTAACCATTAAGGACCCTTTGGAATCAGCTGGGTGTCCCACAACAGTGTCCAAGCTGGCACATTTATATTTGAGCTTCATTCATTGTTTGTTTGCTGACCTTTCAAAGTGAAAGTGAAACCAAGATGTGCCCACTGTGTTTTTCTCCTGTGTGTTTGCTGCTTCAGGGCCGAGTCTACATGTGCCTCCTGAAGACTCCCTGAAACTGTGAGTTGTCTTCACTGTGGTGAAAAATCTTTTTCATCACTTTCCTTTCCTCCTGTTCTTGCTTTGTTCTTTTGGCCCTTTCACCTTTACCCCTCCACGGTTCCGCATCAGCATCAAGCACACCTGTGGTTCATTGCCCCGAAAAGAGTACCCCTCTATTTTCCTCCTCACGCACACAAAGTGAAATCAGAACTGTTTGTTTATTCTACATCGATCCAACAGTGTCTATGGAAGTTTTTTTTTTCTCGAATCTTACCGCCGAGAGACACAAACCAAGGCCAGTAACCTTCTCCTGTCACAGTTACTTTCAGCTGCTCCCCTTTTACTTCTGCCCATTTTTGAGGCTTTGTGATTGTATAGTTCCCAAACCAGCACCTAACTTGGACAACTGGAAGAAAATGATTATCTAATTTACTTCAAACTTTTCACATGTGCACTTGATCATGTGTGAATGTACTTTATTTCAGGATTCATAATTTATATTTAGAATTCTCTGTCTACTGAAATTTATTTTCATTTTTCATCCCACTAGCAGTTTAAGACTCAGATGTATCTGGATTTCTTTTCAGCAACAAAAATAGACAAATCAGCAGAGTTGGCACGGTAGAGGAGGATGCTAGAGACGGGGTGAGATGGAGGCAGATGATTTGCTGTGGCGTACTGTGTATTTTCTTTTTCTGTATTTTCATTGTAAAAATAATAATTTTTGTTGCAAAGAAGCAGTAAACATGAGTTCATGTTAATGAACAACTGGGTCACTCTCCAGGGATAGACTGGAAACAGAAACATGTGGACATAGTCCATTTTTAGGAGTCGACTTGTTTCTGCAGCATGAAAGATAACCACAGTCCTGTTCCACTTTTTGTCCGCATCAGGAAATTGTTGTTTTATCTCCAAAGCATTAATACACCAGCAGAAGATCCACTGAAACAAAACCAGGTTTTAATATACAGATGTTTAATTCTCAGTCAGTATTTCTTTAGTTGTGAATTTTATTTGCTGAAATGCATCAATTGCATGTGTCTACCTCAAGTAATACCCTGTCCTGGTTAGGGCTGTGCGATATGACCAAAATCTCATATCCCGATATAAGAATTCTATCGTCCGATAACGATATAAATCACAAAAATGTAACATTTTTGTAAATTCTGTGAATCTCGGGCAGCTCGACTTGCAGGAAGTGTTTCCAGCTGCGCGTCATGTAGCTGGAGTCGAGTGTTTTAACCGATGTATGAAACTATACATTTTTAGACATAAGTGGTAACGGCCGCCGTTTTCTTTGTATTTATTACACGGCGTGCTGCGGGGAAAAGCCTGTTCTAACGTTTGAGTCTAAGGTTTATTTTTTAGCACCTGGCGGCTCTTTTTTGCTTCTCATCCGTAAATAATCTGCTTTTTCACGTGATTCGGTTTATTTTGAAAAGTCTCAACAGGATCTTGAGCTTTATTTTGAAAGGTTTATGTGGAACATAAACAAGTGGACACGCGATGGTGTTACCGTCATTGTTGCTAACCACAACGCATAAAAACATGCGCTTGTTCATCCTTAGTGTGGTTATATTAAATAAAAGAGAAAGAGAGAACTTTAAGAAATTAATATAGCCACTAGAGTGGTCGTCAAAACGATGAAAAAATATTTCCGTAAAGTTTATTTTGCGACACCACGAAACAAATGATAGCGTAAAATGAAAGGATAGATGTTTTTACATCCTCATCCGATATATATCGTTATATCGAACAGCCCTAGTCCTGATGTCCTAGATCCTCCTGTGAGCAGAGGAGGAGACATGCGGCTCTTCTGATTCCTTCTTTTTCAATCCCTCCATTTAAAAGCACAAGTTCACACTGCAGTAGTTGTACACTGTTAAAATCTGGACATCCTCTACTGAGAAAACAACTGTGAGTTACAGGGACAGCTCCATTTAAAGTGTATTTATACAACAGTTTTGTGTGACATATGTTGGGACATTTATATATAAGAGCTAATTTGTGATATTTTGTATTATTGAATATGGCACTTTACCTTGTTTGTTACTGTTCTTATTTATTGGAGGAACTGTCATCGCATACTTTGCTCTGGGATTAATAAACTTTTCTGATTTCTCTAGACTGTTTCTGCGAATCTCATTTATGCTCCAGATCAGTTTGCAGACAGTGAAAAGAAAGTAAGGTGGTTTAAACGGTTACTTAAGTCTTTAAAATGTTCACATTTTACACTCAAGCTCACATAAAATGTGCCAGGCATGAAACACCAGCTTGGCTGCACTTCACTGTCTGGTGCGATCCATGTTCACAACCAGCAGCAAAGAGTGACACTGACTGTTGCGTCCAGCCAGCTAAACCCTGGGTTGGTTCCTTCTTGTCTGCCAACATGGGCCCCAACAGCTCTAAAACAGCCCCTCTTAATGATGCTGTACCATAAAGCTCTATTTTGGGTCTAGTCTTGTTTGCACTGTATATGTTGCCACTAGGAGTAAATGGTACTTTTGTACAGAACTTTTCATTTCACTGTTTTGCAGATGACTTGGATATTTCTTTGTCGTTAAAGAAGCATGAACACTTTTAAAACACATTTTATGGAACAACTTTCAATTTATTTCTAAAGCACCAACATGCTGTGCAAAAAGAAAAGAAAAAAATAAGAGATCAAGAATAAATAAGTATGTACAAAGAGTAAAAGTTTATGACATTTAAAAACAGCAGGAGATGGAGCCTGTCTCCAGCAGCAGCTCATTCCACATTTTAGGAAAAACTTCAAAGGCTCCTCTGGATTTATAAAATGTCTTTGGGAGAGTCAAAAGCACCTGGTTAGCTGATCTACAAGCACGTGACAGCATGTAAGGGTGAAATATCTCAGAAAAATAAGGCGGGGCAAGACCATTAGGAGACTTGAAAACAAATAAAAGAATTTTAAAATGGATTTAGAAACTGAACATGACACTAAAATCGGGGCTATGTGCTCTGGTTTGCTTGTACCAGTTAAAAATCGTGCAGCAGCGTTTTGTACCAGCTGCTGACGTGAGGGCCCTGCTAATTCCAATCAAAAGAGAATTACAATAAGCCAGACGAGAGGTGATAAATGCATGGATCTGTGTCTCTGGGTGGCCTCTAGACAGGATGGACTTAATTTGTGACAGCTGCCTCAACCGAAAGATGGAGGACTTAACCACAGCTTTGACATGTGAGTCGAGTTTTAGGCTGGGGTCCATTTTCACACCTAAATTAGTGATGCTGGATTTTTCATGGGGGCCAAAGAGAAAAGGTCAAAGGTAGGGATACAGCTGGAGGCACTGGATTTAGCATGACCTCAGTCCATGTTCTCTGTGGCAGAAGATTTAGTGTGAATCCTGAGACTTGTTTTTTTTGTCAGAGCCATCAGCTGCAGGGATGAACAACAGTATTATTTTACATGTAAAGTAACACACATCTGCTCTGACTTCTTCTCTGTTCTTTGGCAAAGCTGCTTTCTCCCCTCGCTCTAACTCAGAATATGAAAACATACAGCAGGTTCTCAGTGAGCGATGCACCAACCTGATCATATCATGAAAATTAATACATGCTTATGTGTAAGGGACCGTCACACAATTAAATATTTACTTTCTATCTTTAATTTAAATCAATTAAATGTAAGAAGGACTTCCAAAAATAGAAACCTACTGATCTGATCTTTATTAGGAAAATAAGAAATTATTATTAATAAATTATTATTAAATAATAAATTATTTATTAATGCTTTACAGCTAGCAAAGATCGACTTGATGTGGATCCAGCTCTGTGAGACTGCTCTCAGACTGGTGCAGTAGTATCCTACATTATACTTACGGGGCAGAGTAACAGCCACCGGAGAAAGAAGAAAAAAGTATTCAGCTACAACATGAGTTTAAAATGTCTCCGTCACTACCACAGTACAGAATAATGTGACTTATAATTACACATCACGGAGCTCAATGCTACACATTAGCTGAGGAAAACTTACCCGTGCTGCTTCTGAGACTGGTTTCCTCAGCCTCGTCTTCATTACCCTCGTCTTCCTCAACCTTCTCACTGTCAGCCTCAACATTTGTTACAACCACTGCTACACTTCCTGTAAAGACAACATACATTTTGAGCTATATGAAGCAAAACGGCAAACTTTACTACCCTGACATAAAAGAGGCACTGTTACTACATAAACACATACAGAACATTAAGACCCATCTTCTACAATCTGTTCAGTCTTAAACTAATCTGTTATGTTTATCTGAGGAAGGAGAAGGAACCACATCCCATTGACATTAAGGAGGGGTACGGTCACATGACCACAGGGACAACCCACCCACACATACACACAGGTTAGTTAAGGACAGCGTGCTCCACATGTGAGGAAACATTTAATGCTTCTTTTATTTATGAACTGCAGGGTAACGTTTAAAGGTTTTCAGCACTGCTGCTGTAAATATTATTACATAATAATAGTATACTATTATTATTATACTGAACACAGGTAACCATGAGTCTGGCTGCTCTAACCTTTCTCCTCATGCTTCAAGTTTCTGTCTCCTCCACTCTGTTTGCCTGTTCACCTCCTCTGCGCTACACTGAGCGTCTTTGAGCAAACACTAATCTGTTAAAGGATCGGCTCAGACTGACACGAGTCTCTGAACATCAAACTTTATAAGACAGGAAAATAAAGATGTTACCTTGGTTGTCGTTGGCTACACGTCTGCCTCCTGTAAACAGACGTAACACAGACTGTCAGTGATCGTGGATGAACTCAGTGGTTTGTTCTACATGTGTGAAGCAGCTCAGTGTGCTGAGCCTCGGACCAACTCTAATATCATCAGACCTGAGTCAGCAACATGTTCAAGTCATTGACATGAATGAATGAATGAATAACATGCTGAAGTGTAATCCTACAGTTTGCTGTAATTCAGACTAAATGTTGTTGAAATGTTTCAAAGTTCTACATGCAGATGTGTCTGAGTGGAGACGGTGGAGGAAACGAGCTGCACACTATCAGCAAACAGCAATCATTTCTGTTCTGGAAAAAACTACATTTATGTCCCAGAGGGGTCAAAGTTATTGGATTAGAAGCTGCAGACAGGAAAAGTCTGACATCATGTCACATGACTGACATGTGACCTTTGACCCCCCCATGGAGTCCTAATAAAATAATAACTGAAGTGTTTGAAGACTGAAACACTGGAGCAGCTGCTGTGATGTAAATTATACACAACAGCTCACTGTACTTACTAAGACAGCCTTTTTTATGCAAGCATATCAGACCCAGACCTCCACCAACAACAACAGCAATCACAGCCAAGGCTGTGCACCGATCAGAGCTCCAGATCCAGGTTCCAGGTTCCTCTGGATGGTCACCGTTCTCTGAAACACAGAGTTTTAGGCTGAGGTCACTGTCAGCGTGTTATTTGCTGCTGTTTGTTACTGAGATGTAGATTTGAAGCCACAGTCATGATGAAGTCAGTGATTGGACAGCAGTGATGTGCAGGAGGTCACTGAGAGGGGACGGCATTGAAACAGAAACTGTTCATATCTGGAACGTTTCAGTGATTCTCTGAAGGAGATCGCTCCTCTGCTTCTTCGGGGCTGCAGAGCTGGGCTAAATGTGACACGCTAGCTTTGTTCTCAGATGGACTGACATGGCTCTGACCACAGGACTGTGATCAGGACAGTCATGATGCAGATCTGCTGGACACAGAGAAGCTCACTGCTCTGACTGAAGAAACAAAGTTATGATCAACAACAGAGACAATAAAAAAAGTTTCTTACTCCAAGTCTTCACAACATCCACACGGGTCGCCTCATGAACGACTTCACAGCTGAACTTTGACAGGTCAGACTTCAAAATCTCCACATGGTCTCGTCTCTGGAAGGTCTCGTCGTTATTTGGAAGAACTCCTGAGCTACTCAGGCCGTCGTCTTCGGTCAGAACACGCCCGTTTCTTCTGATCCTCACAATGATGTTTTTGCTGTAGAAGCCTGTGGCGAGGCAGGTCACGGTGAGGTTTGTCTCCACTCTGGACTTCTTTGCAAACACGTACACGTCAGGTGGAGCTGGAAGGAGGAAATGAAAACTGTGTCACTAAATATTAAAACATAATTATGTGAATATGGTTTACCTCTGAAAGATCACAGCAGTGTATGAAATTGAATGTCTTATATGAGCTGTGTTTTCTGCGGCTTTGACTGTTAAGTGAGGTATGAAAAATTGAGGGGAATAGAGTTGCAGCGTTTGGGGATTTTGTTTCTGGGACCAATTGCAAGTAATTGCATTGACCCCTTGGTCATTCATTTTAAGTTTGCTTCAGACGAAAGAGGATTTATCATCCTGAAGTACAGCAGTCTGTGTGATGATGTGATCACAAACCTTTAAATGTAAAGAAACTGGTTTTGATCCAAAGAAGGTGACCATCACAGTGCTGTGAGCATACAAGGTCAAAGTTCAGTCTGACAAGTACCCCGGTGTTAATATTGATAACAGTTTTAGATGTTGGTCTGTTTTTCTGTTCTAGAAAGTTCAGTCAGACGGACTAACAGCATGATGTGGAAATCTTCCAGTGGCAGGAAAATGATGGTTACTAAAAGTGTTGCAGACATCCATGAAAACCACAGTCAGAAATCCCGTCGTCGTTCTCCGTGTCTGTATGAACAGTGTGTGTTGCAACAAGTCAGGAGGATCCAACTGATCTCCTCTCAACATGAACGGTGACCTTCTGACAGCAGACACAGAGCTCCACACTGTGAGTTTGAAAGCTTTAAGGATTCATTTATGGCTCATTGAGTCAATGCTCTGAATATCAGGAGGTCACAGAATCACTGCAACATGACAGTTATTCTACATTTAATGGTGATTTGGATCAATATGTTCTATTATATTTGTAAGTAAACTGTGATATTTCTGCCAAACAAAGGGCATTACATAAAGTTCATAATTTTAACTTATTTTACAAAAGTTCAAAGTTAAAGCAACAGAAGTATAAAAAAATGTGATTAGTAGAAATGATCAAACTGTAATCACACGTTTTGATGCTTTATGTAAAATGCTGCACATCAACTTAAAAATGATTTAATAAAAAAAACAAAGAAAACACTGAATCTATTGCTGGTGTTAGTTCTATAGACTTGAGCAGTAATGAATAGAAAAACACAGATCATTATGTCATACATACGGGCTTTTTTCAGCTGCTTTTGTTCAGAAGTCACAGACTTGCTCAGCCAATCGATGCACTCGTTCTCCAGGTATCCCTTGGTGTACTCTTTCAGCACCTGGTCATTGTCCCACTTTGTCTTTGAGGGAAGTGCCTCTTTAACTGGAGCGACCCAGACTCTGCTTTTATCATCAAAGGACAGGAAGTCGTTTCCATCATAGTTATACTTGCTCATGCCGTGGACAAACCTGAGCGCGCCGTTAGGCTGTGTCTCACCCTCACAGCGCACCATCCACTGAAGAACATGAGGGGCTGAAAGCAGGAGGGCAAAAATTAATAAATGAATATTTAAATAAACATCAGAGGAGAAAATATGGACATGCTGATGATTCCATGATTAATAATTACACATTCTCTACAGAGAAATACTTATATGTATATATAGTTGGTGTAATATACTGGGACATTTATAATTGGGGTGTTTGTATATTTGTATATATTTTGTAACTCTGCAATATGTTGTGTTGTTTAACTTAGTTACTGTGTTGGAGCAACTGTGATCACATCATTTCCTTTGGGATTAATAAAGTTTGATTCTGGTCTTGTTATTGATTATTGGTCCTTCAGATTTCATGGATCTTACCTGAGTGAACAAATCATTGAACCACAGCAAAGACTTACAGGCAGAGTCATTCTGTCTCATTCGCTCCATCAGGATGCCGATGTTGACCTTGAACCACTGCTGCTTGATCCTGCGGGACTGTGTGCCTTTTCCCCAGTAATCAGCAGGGAAATGCTCTCTCATCCACTCCTGTTTGGGAACTTTTGTCTGATTCTCGCTATCATAGTAATCGATCATCCTGCCGTCCAGCAAACCCATGGCTGTGAACTCGTGGATGCCCGGCAGTCCAACGGGTTTGGAGAGTCCAGTGTAGATGTAAGTGAGGGAATGAGTCTCTGAAAGTCACACAGGTAGGAAAACACAGGAGGAGGATGGATGAGCTCTGATCTTTTTACTGGGCAGGTATGTTTGAAGATCCATGGATCAGAAGCTCTGGCCCTTTGGTATTTCAGTCATGAATAATCAGTGAGCAGCAGTAAATAATCATCTGTGTTATTTCTGTCACAGTTTGAAAATGAATGTTTTTTCTGTTCTTGCTTCTTTCAAACTGCAGGTCAGAAATAAATCAAAAATATTTGGACCCAAACCGTCTCCAACATCATAAACACGTCTTTCTTTAAAGTTTCTGTAATGCAGTGATTTTAGTCTCAGCTGTAAATGTAAACATCCAAATACACAGTAATAACTGATATTAACTGAGAGTTCAAACTAAAGCTGAGGTTTGTGTGAAGACGTTACTGAGCTGTTTGAGACAAACTTTACAGAAGTTTGAAATCAGACAGAGAACTTCCTGTTCTCATTTGGTTTTCCTGCAAGAAAATAAAGTTTTGTTAACGAGTGTTTTTACACTCCGACTCAAAAACAACCACAAGTTTAACAACTTTTAACAACTTTTAACAACACAACTTTAGCCTCAGTCAGAGGCTGGATTAAAGGTAGCATTTTCTTAAATGTTTAATTTTTTTAATAGTTCCAGTTTTACATGTTGAGGTGAGTTTGCGTCCCTGTATGAATGAAGCCTAGGCTGGGGGGAAGGACAGAGTATTAAAACCTTTCTGTTTCTGTTGTCTTCACTGAAACTTGACTTTGTTTATTAAAACAGAAAAATGTATAATATTCCTGAACCATGAGGGAGGAACAGAGAAACTAAGAGACCACCTTTAAAAAGCAGTCAAAGCTCTTCAGCAGCACAGATGCGATCTGTGTTTGTCATTTAGTGGGAAATCTTGAGGACAGAGCACGATGCTGTCCTATAAACAGATCTCATTAACCCTGCAGAGAGCTGTGATCAGGGATCCTGCATCATTTTAAAACATCCGCTATAAACTTCTTAAATCCTCTGTCTGACACATAACAGCCACATTAAACCGGTAGTAACACTGAAACTAATGAATAACCTGCAAAAGTTGATTCTGTTCATCTGGATAATTAAGATTAAGGAACTGACCTCCCAGCCCATTGTTCCATCGGTGGGCTGGTTTCAGTCATTATGCAAATGTACTGTTTATAAGATCGGGGAAAACCTGCCGTCAGCTGAGACTGAAGGAGTCACCTGGATGAGTGATGAAACGTTTCTCCCACAAAACGCTACGTCCAGATGAACAGAATCAACTTTTGGAGATTTACTTTCCTGGATGACTGAACATGCATCATAATGAATAACCTCAACATTTAAACAAAACATAACTAAAAGTAAGCTTAGCTGAAAATAAATACGATAAAACTTTATAAAAGTTAAACTCGTCTGACATGTTCTTAACGAGGCCACATGTTTCTTTCGGTTTGAACCCGTCTCATCAACGTGTGCAAAAACACTAAAACTCACCGCTGTTTACCGTGACTCCTGTCCCCACAAGGACCAAAACTGAGATCACGAACATTTTAATCCAAATATTGGATTAAAAGTTCTTATCCGGAATAAACTCCGATTTATTCCCCTCTGTTGGACCAGCTTCACCTCTCCATCTCTGCTCCTCGCTGCTTCCTTCCTCTGTGATCTGAGTGATGCATTCAGGGGCCGCGGGTAAACTACAGATGCATTCAGGCCCACCCGTCTCCGTGTTTTTGTTTTTTAAAAAATAGACATTACTTTTACTGCGCTTTAACAGAGAAATGTTCATTACTCGCAGATAAACCACAGAAAATAAAAGCTAACCAAAGAAAAACTCAGATGAGTCTCCACATAT